CTCTATGTGTCCCTGTGATGGACTTGCGACCCGTCCAGGGTGTACCCCGCCCCTCGCACAGTGATTGCTGGACATGGGCACCAGCGACCCCCGTGACCCAAAATGGAAGAAGCGGGTAAAGAAAATGGATGGATGGATGAAATCTGTCTAGTGGTTCACAAACTACTTTACAATCAGAAAAAACACCTAATGTTATCCTTTTTGCCCTTCGTCTTTCAGTGGTGTGGGATGAATACTGAGTTGTGTTTTAGACTAAAACCTCACTAAAATATTTATTAGACCTTTATTTAATTACATCCTGAAAACAAACTATAAAGTTCATGTATTAAAGGTAATTAAATCAGGATAAAACTGCTGTTCCTTTAAAAAAAATGCCACTATCTTTGTACTTTGATCTTTTAAACCCACAGTCACAGAGAGTGACCCCTACCTGTTAGAAACAGCTCTTGTGATTGGCTGAACAAACTGTACGCCCCTCTAGCATCTATCTCTGTTCTACAATCTACTTCTTACTTTGGACACTCTTGCCTTACTCACGTCCAGCATTCGGTCCTGTCACAGCCAACATGTCTGACAAAGGAGCCTTCGACACCAACGTGGTGACGCTGACCCGGTTTGTTCTGGAGGAGGGCAGGAAGGCCCAGGGAACAGGCGAACTAACAACTCTGCTCAACTCCATCTGCACAGCTGTTAAAGCAATATCTTCTGCTGTTAGGAAGGCTGGGATTGCTAACCTGTGAGTATCATTTGCTATTCTCACAAAATTGTGCAAATATAAATATTAGTTTATGCAACGTCAGTCAAAATTAAGTTTGACTGTGAAATACCCATGCAGTGAAGCATGAGGATCAGCACACTGTTTCAACCGGGCCCCAAAGGTCAAAGGTAATCTCTATGTGCACAACTTTCCCAGATCAGAGATCAGTATGTAATAAGTTTCTAGGACCATTAGTGCAGAACTGCGTGTTTTTTCTTCCCTTTCATGTTTGTATTTTGAAATAGGAATTGGACATGCAATGTTTTATTCCAGCCTTACTATGCTTCTGTTCACTATGTGAAGATATGGCATTGCTGGAAGCACCAATGTGACGGGGGATCAGGTGAAGAAGTTGGATATCCTGTCCAATGACCTGGTCATCAACATGATCAAGTCCTCCTTCACCTCCTGTGTGCTGGTCTCAGAGGAAGATGAGAAAGCCATAATTGTGGACCCAGATAAGAGAGTATGTGCACTGCTACACATTGTGTTATAATGTTTATCTGATTAGCCTTATCAACCATATTCTGCTTAATCACACAGGGAAAATACATTGTGTGCTTTGATCCGTTGGATGGTTCTTCCAACATCGACTGCCTTGTCTCCATCGGAACAATTTTTGCTATCTATAAAAAGGTCAGTCACTCTGATGCTTTATATTTTTAACATTTTCTTATATCTGTTTTTAGCTCACGAGCACGTACAGCTCTGGGGTTTTTTTTTTCACCACAGTCAAAAAGCCAAAGGTGGATGTTCTTACCTGTTTGTGTGCTGGTGTTTGTTCTTCTGTTTGTTAGCAAAATCACTGGACAGACTTTTATAAAAGTCACAAAAATATAAATTGGTTAACTCTTTACGTCAGCTAAGTTCAAGATGGCTGCCACAGCTAATCAACTTTAGCAAACATCAGTGGGTGTTACTTCAGTGCTGGTGCGGTGGTAGTGGAGAGTTTTTCCACAAAATCTACTCCAAAGGCTACACATGACCCAATATGTTTGCATAAAACTTTGATATTACCTGTCTGTTTGCAAAATATAAATAACTATTGGACAGTTTTTAAATAACCGCCCAGAAAATAATAATTTGGTGTACATCTACAAATGATAAACTTTTGGAGGCAGTCTAATTCAAGATTAATTGGCTATGGCTGCCTCAGAGGAGTCGACAGGGGAGAGGGCGGGCCCCAGAAACCATCTTATTCCCAGCAAACTGGTTGGTCCACTATGAGTGTGCTGCTTGTAGGTCTGAGTTTGTTTGTGGATCCTCAGATTGATGAAGTCCTTTGGATGAAGGACAAAACGTCCCAACAAAGAAAAAGAAACTTTCCAGATGATCTGACTGAACTTTGCTGGATAACTGAAATTACATCGTTGTGCTGTTTGAAGAATGTCATCCTTCAGCCCAGAGTGTTTCTCTATAAAGACCTCTGATTGCATCTCATGGCTTATCTTCTTTTCAACAATTGGCAGACAACAGATGGGGAGCCATGTGAGAAGGATGCTCTACAGCCTGGAAGGAACATCGTAGCAGCTGGTTATGCTCTTTACGGCAGCGCCACCATGATGGTCCTCTCCACTGGTCAGGGGGTGAATTGCTTCATGTTGGATCCAGTAAGATCAACCTTTAACCAGAGCTGATGAAGCCACATAAAACTTTGGGTAGTTATACCAATAATAGTTTGACTTCATTGTGTTACCTGTGTGTGGGTTTCTTCAGTCGATTGGTGAGTTCATCCTGGTGGATCGAGATGTGAAGATTAAGAAGAAGGGAAAAATCTACAGTCTGAATGAGGGATATGCACAACAATTTTATCCAGATGTAACAGAGTACCTACAAAAGAAGAAATTCCCAGAGGTAAGGACAAGAAAACGTTACATGTTCTCATGTGAAACAGTTGTGTTAGTGGACAAATATCTCAAATTCTAATTATTACAGGATTAATACGTTTTTGCTGTCTTTGTATCCAGGATGGCTCTGCTGCATATGGAAGTCGATACATCGGTTCAATGGTTGCAGATGTTCACAGGACTTTGGTGTACGGAGGAATCTTTTTATATCCTGCTAATGTCAAAAGTCCAAAAGGCAAGGTGAGGAGACAGAGGTTCTAACTAAATATTACTTTTGAAATAGAAATTCTGTGTTAAGTTGGTGTTTAACACCACTAACTGCATCTTTTTTAATGTCACCAAAGATGGCCAAAAATACTTTTGCTCTAGTCTTTGTGTGCTTGTTTGTCTGTGTCTTAGCAAAATAACTCTGGCTTTTGCAACAACCAAAATCTGTCAGTGAATTTGACAAATGTGTTACATCCCAACACATAATTTGAGCACTAACTGATTCAACAAAATCTTTGCTTAAAACCTTGGCACTAATTATTGAAGTCAGGTATGCCTGTTAGCAAAATATATAATGGACCGTTGAGTGAATTTATTAAAGTATCACATAAAGTAAACCTTGGATGTACATCTACAACTAAGTAACTTCTGGACACAACCACATTCAAAATGGCTGCCGCAGACAGGTGAACTCAGAAAAAAAAAATGGCTTTAACTGAATCAGTTTTACAAAAATTGAGCTAAAATTTTGAGTGTTACTGATAACTATTCTCAACACATACAGTAAGTGCTACATATTGCACAGGATTTCATAATACTGAGTGACATCATACAGTAAATAATGCTATTTTAAAAATGTAAGCCAACCTACAATTCTGTAATTTTTCAGTATAAAATGATGCGTCCGTCCGTCCGTCCGTCCGTCCGTCCGTCCGTCCGTCCGTTCAGCCATTTTCTTCCACTTATCCGGGATCTGTCGTGGCGGTAGCAGCCTAAGTAGGGAGACCCAGACTTCCCTAAGTAAGGAGACCCAGACTTCACTTGGGCCAGCTCCTCCAGGGGAATCCCAAGGCGTTCCCAGGCCAGCTGAGAAACATATTCCCTCCAGCGTGTCCTGGGTCTTCCTCTGGGTCTCCTCTCGGTGGAACGTGTCTGGAACACCTCACCAGGGAGGTGTCCAGGAGGCATCCTAACCAGATACCTGAGCCACCTCAACTGGCTCCTCTCGATGTGGAGAAGCAGCAGCTCTACTCTGAGTCTCTCCCGGATGATTGAGTTTCTCACTCTATCTCTAAGGGAGAGTCCAGACACCCTGCGGAGAAAACTCATTTCGGCCGCCTGTATCCCTCACCTCGTTCGTTCTCTCACAACTCAAAGTTCATGACCATAGATGAGGGTAGGAACATAGATCCACCAATAAATCAAGAGCTTTTGACTCAGCTCTCTCTTCACCACGACAGACCAGTACAGCGCCTGCTTCTCTGCAGATGCCACTCCTTTCTGTCTATTGATCTTTTGGTCCATTTTTCCCTCATTCATGAACAAGACCCTGAAATACTTAAACTCCTCCACTTGTGGCAGGACCTCCTCCCCGATCCGGAGAAGGCGCTCTACCCTTTTCCAGCTCAAGATCATGGCCTCGGATGAAAGGATCTTATTTTAAAAATCTGTCATGTAAGGGTGCAGGTGATCTAGATCTTTAATTTGTTCTGTTTTCCAGCTGAGGCTGCTGTATGAGTGCAACCCCATGGCCTTCATCGTGGTGCAGGCAGGAGGCATCGCCACCACAGGATCTGAAAACATTCTGGACATCCAGCCTGCTACTATCCATCAGAGAGTCCCTGTTGTCCTGGGCTCCCCTGATGATGTGAAAGAGTACATCTCTATCTACAAGAAGCACAACAAATGAGGTGCTCTGCTCTCAACACTCAACCAGCCAACTATCAGGAAAATAAGCACAAATTTTACGTTGTTTTAACTGCTTTTATTTTTCTTCATTATTATTTAGCAGGTCAAGTCTGGTGGTTAAAACATGAATCAGTTCTGACTTGTTCCCTGCTGCACTGACGAAGAAGAACCTTCTGTAGATTGCTTCTTACTGCAAATAACATTCTTTGTTGTGAGCCATTTTCAGAGACTTATCTGTATTTTTAATAAAGACTAATGGGAAGGAAAAACAAAGTTCATTTTGTGTGTGCATTGTTTCTGTCTATATATATATATATATATATATATATATATATATATATATATATAT